CACAGCCAGGTTAAGTTCAAATGCAGGGCCCACGTCTCCCCCGGGCCCTCCCCCCCTCCTCACCCCCAACCTCCTAACCTCCACTTGTACACTTTCATCCCCCTCGCCGCCCTTCTCATCCCCTTCTTACGGACCTGTTTGTGACTTCACGCAGCAGCTTTGGGTAGGTTTGGAAACACAGATTAGAAATGGTAGGAATATAAACAAACCACTGATCCCCAGATAGCTTTTTGACATTTAAGGAATCCTGTGTCGACATAGCTGTGGCATATAAGAAATGACAAATGAAAAAGTAAACTATTATTCTAACATTTATGAGAACTTTTGGCCCTAACTATCCATCCATTTTCTATACAGCTTATTCCTAACAAGCCTCTGATGAGTTTATTGTTGTGACACCATTTTTCTCTCCCGGCATTTTCAATGGACTCTGCAAGAACTGTTCTGCTGTTTTCGGGACAGTGACTGTACAGCAAAAATATCCAGAATAAAACCGACAGAGATGAAGTCATGTTTTGGCTCCCAAGCATGCAGCTGAAGGGAGGAAAGTGGCGTGGTTTAATCAGGGGGCCTTTTGTTTTTTTTCTCAACCAGAGTTCTTATTGCTGTTTGTTTAGGTCAAACTGATCAAATGAAACCACACTCGGTTGTGTTTTTTATTTCGACACTGTTGCAGTTCCATCTCTCCATCCATTATCCATTCCGCCTATTCCTATTGGGGTCGCGGTAAAACAGGGTTAGGAGCAAAGTTTTTACCCCGAAATGATGCCAAAGGTCTCAGATGTCAGTGTCCAAATGTATATATTCATAGAAAAGAAAAGACAATCCAACAAGTTGCAGAAACTACAGCAACGTGAGCAAAACCCCGCCCTGCTAGCAAAAGCCTGACGAAGGCCGAGAAGATAATTAGTCGGAAACTAACTCCTAAAGAAAAAAAAAAAGCTTTGGAGCCGGGTGGATTGCTGTGGCTGCAGGATCACATCTTTGACTTCTGGATAACAGAGCAAGTTTTCTCCTGACCTCACTCCCACCTCTACCCCTCCCTCCCCCTCCTGCTCTGTTTTGCCCAAACTCAGTGGGATTAGACTGGGCCTTGGTGAAGGATAGGTCAAATAAAAGGGGGGGGGGGGGGGGGGGGGGAGACGGAGGAGGATGTGATGGATCATCGCTGTGCCAATGAGCCACTGTGAACTTAGAATCCACAAAGTCAAATGCACACACTTGAATTGTTAGGGCCCTCAAAGCTGCTAGAGCGTTTTTTTTTTCCTTCATTGTGTCAAAGGGACAACTTCCGATTCGGGCTGAAACACTGTTCCTTTCAAATGACTCGTTGATCTCAGCCACAGATGGAAATTTGACACAAAGGATCTCACTTTTTCGACCAGAAAATAAGTTTTCTTGTTGTGCAAGAGCCAGAAATCAGTAGAGATGCTTATGATAATCAACTATCTTGAATAAAACATCTCTAAATCATATAGTGGAAACTTAAAAGTGAACACAACCATGTCCTTTGTATTGTCTTGAAAAGATTGTGGCAGAAATTAATCAGATGAGCTGTTTACACTGTCATATTGCTTGTTTGAAACCAACGAAGAAATGTGATTGAGTTGTTTACTGTGTACAGAATTGTTTGATTAGTGCATTGTAAATGCTTCCCAATGGGAAAAAGAGACACAGAATTGGTCGAAAGTATATACGACGTGTTTCTTGGTTGGATTTGGCTGGATTTCTTTTCTGTTGGGATTTTTTGGGCCACTTAAGCCACTCAAGACTCATTATTGGATGATTCTGAATGTGATGTTTGTGTGCAGGTCGCAGCAGTCCTAAAACCCTCCTAAGTTTATCTTTGTTGTGTATTTTTGTATTCAGCCTTCTCTCAAGAACACATCAATGGCCATTATTTGAATTTATGAAGGATTTTGCAGAATGTCACAGCACTTTTTCCAACCATATCGGACTGGTATTTATGTCTAAGATGTGTCCTTTATGGAAAATACATATGCATTGCTTTTCTAAAATGATATTATCATAGTTTCTAATGTCTTTTGGCGCCTGGACGCACCTCGTATCTGTCCCTCGCCCAGCCATCTGCTCTGTCTGTCTCTACACGACTATTGGACATCAAGCTGGTCGAACAAGTGTCAGATCTTTAAATGGGAATGTCGGACTCCACACTGCTTCTGAATAATAGAGGAGCTCTGTGGTTAAAAAAGCTGGATTAATGCACATGTCCGGGCTCTCTGCAGTGCTTGTCAGGGATGGAGCGTGACAGACACCAAACAGCTGGAGGTTAATAACACGCTTAGCGCGACACCCGAACCCTTTTTGCAGCCTAGCACGGACAACCATGAGATTTTAGCGGCAGGGGCGTGGTGCTAAAAGCTAACAAAGATTTTAGAAACACAGCCCCGCACCCTGTGCCTCAACCCCGGTTGTACATCTCTTTAAGGAGGGCTGTAATCGTGTTGTGACTCTGCAGGCTGGAT